AGACATTTTAGGAGTGCTTTAGTTCACCTTTTGCTTACGAGTAGGGAGGGACTAGGCAAAAATGAAGGTACATAAGATGTTTATCAAAACTAAAATGTGTTGAAATAGTCCATAACTTTCTGAATGTTTAATAAGCAACACGGTCAAAATATCATGTGAGGCCAGGGGTTAACCCTGTATCTGCTGATGCCAATTCTCACTAGCCCTGTTTCTTTCTCAAAGACCCTAATTTTAGCTAATGAGCCAAATTAAAAATACTTGCTTCATCAGACTATCTTGCCGACTTTGGGGCCACGTGACCCTGTAGCGTTGCATGAGATATATGCAGAGGGTTTCTGGGGAAACTTCTGTTTTCCTGATACAGATCCAGCCTTCTTACTTTCTCTTCTCTTCTCCCTGCCTGGGTGTTGCTGTAGTACGTAGGGGTACAGTGGCTCCCTTGCAACAAAGAAGTGGTCAGCATGAAGATGAAAGCCTCATGTTCAGGATGGTGGAAGTGAAAAGCAGGAAAAGCCTCTTGAGCCTCCAGGGCAACGTTGGACTACCCCAGCTTCTTGTTGCACAGGGCAAGTGTATCATTTAAGATACCGTTTTTGAGTCTGTTATTTGCACCTACACATTCCTAAATGCTGTGCAATATCACTGATTTTTCCCCTCTTTTTTATTTTTATATGCAATAAACTGACTCTACCCATCTGGCTTCCCTGGAATGATAATTATAGCTCTGTACAATGTCCATACCCATTATTACTTGCCTTACCAATTAGAAACACCTTTAACTTGCATTGGTTTTCAAGGCTACCTTTCATCTACCAAGAAAAATTACGGTACAATGCTTCCCTCACCAGTAGCTTTTGTCCACTTCTCTTCAACATGTGTTCACTCTGGTAAAATGATGCCCCTTTTCTCCTAATAAAAATGACTATCAAGCAAGGACTGCAGAGGCTGAAACAAAACATTTAGAATAACTTTTTTTTTAAAGTTTTTTTTTTTAAATAACTTTTCTAAATAACTTTGGAATAATCAAAAAGTTTTAATTGTCAGTTTCATATTTGTTTCCTTCATTTTTTGCCTATTCTTAGGCAAAATTTACAACAAAGTTTAGTCAGTAATTGGTCAGCTTTGTATTCAATACAGGTCAAATCAGTAGATTATAATTCAATCATTCCATTTAACTCCCTTCCAAATCTGTATGCTCTTTTTTTTTTTTAAGTTTATTTATTTGGGCACCTTGGTGGCTCAGTCCTTAAGCATCTGACTTTCGCTCACGTCATGATCTCACGATTTGAGAATTCCAGTCCAACGAACCCCATTTCAGGTGAACACGAGCCCCACATCCATAAAAACAGGAACCTACTTTGGGGGAGCCCTGTTTCTTTCTCTCCACCCAGTCTCTGCCCCTCAGGGATTCTCTCTCTCTCTCTCTCTCTCTCTCTCTCTCTAGCTCTCTGTCCCTCACTCACTTGTGCCCTCTCTCTCTCAAAAAATAGACAAATAAGTAAATAAAGCTTATTTATTATTTTTGAGACAGAGAGACAGAGAGAGAGACAGAGACTATGTGAGTGGGGCAGGGGCAGAGAGAGAGAGAATCCCAAGCAGGTTCTGTGCTGTCAGAGCAGAGCCACACTCAAGGATTGATCTCATGAAAGGTGAGATGGTGACTTGAGCCAAAATAGTCAGACATTTAACCAACTGAGCCATCCAGGCACCTCCAAATCTGTATGTTCTTTTCTTGCCTTATAGATTCTCTTCCTTCTTTTATCTCTTTGACATTTGAAATGTTTGTTTTAGTTCCCTTCAGATGATTCTATAGCATGTAGTTCATTCAGGGTGATTCCTTAAATGTTGGTGTCTGCCGACTCTCTCCTTGGCCTGTGAGCATATCTTCAGAAGTAATCAAGACCTCTATTTGCGTCCTATTTGATCTCAGGGTGTAGAAGAATCTCCAAGGGTTGGTTTCTTGTTGTAGAAATGTACCCCAACACACATATAATTTAGGATATGATAAAAATGGCCTTTGAAATCAACAGGGAAAAGACAGTTATTTGATAAATGGTATTTGTAAACTTGAATGGTTATCTGGAAAAAGATGAAGTTATATCCATATCTTATATTTTATACCCAAGCAAATTCCAGATGAACAAGACATTTAAACAAACAAACAATTAAAGTGTCAAAAGAATTCATGGGAGAATCTTCTCTTATAATCTTTGAGTGGAAAAGTTATAAGCTACACAATAAAATTCAACTTCATAAAAAAATCTGTATGGCAAATGCCAATATGGCAAAGATAAGAGATAAGCAAGAACCTAGGAGAAAATATTTGCAAGACATTTCACAATTAAAGGCTAAATTCTCCAGTATATAAAAAGTATCTTCAAAGAAATAAGCCAACAATCAAATAGGAACATGAATAAAGGTGTAAAAAGATGGTGTATAGAAAAAGATCTACAAATGGCCCTTATACCCATGAACATACACCCAACTGCACTCATAAATGCAAATTAGATCTACAGAGAGGAAATCAGTTTTTTCTTGTCAGATTGGCAAAGATCCTAAGTTTAATAACACTCTATGTTGGCAAATGAATGAGAAAACAGACCCTTGGAGCTTAAACTGGAAAAAACATGTCACTGGAGTAATTTTATAAATGTATAAAAATTGCATATACATTATGTCATTTGACCCAACAAATCCACCTTTAAAAATGTTTTCCCATAGATTTACTTCCCTGTGTGTGAAATAATATATTTAAATGTTTATCATAGCAAAAAAATAGGAAGCAAAAGCTTATCAGTAGGGGACTGGTTCATTAAGGGAATGTTCTGTGGCAGAGAAAAGATCAGGAAAGTCTTGAATAGGAACAATATCCGTGATATATTTTGTGTGTGTGTGTGTGTGTGTGTGTGTGTGTGTGTGTGTAAAACGCAAACTATAGGTCACTGTGGGTATAGCATTCGGTAGAACTTGTGTGAGGAGGAAAACTATGTATATGCATGTGCATTTGCATGTGTATGAATAAATATTTCTGTAAAGATGTACAAGAAGCTGGTATCATTGGTTGCCTTGGGTAGAAGTGTGAGTGGCTGGAGGTCAGAGCTGAGAGGGAAACACCTTTCAAATGTATTGCATTTTTAAAAATTAAATGGCACTAAAGTATATACTTTAAATATACATTAAAGTACATACTTTAATAGATTCAAATTACATAAATCTCAAGAACACACAAAACAAATTATGGTGACAGAGGTAAGAATAGTATTACCTCTATGGGGAGATGTTTACTGGGAACAGGCAAGAGACAGCCTTCTTAGAGGAGCACAGAGATGTCCTCTATCCTGAATTGAATGTTAGTTACGTAGGTAAATGCATGTGGGAGAATCCATCAACTCCACATTTCACATGTGTGCCCTTTACAGGACGTATATTGCACCTCAGTACATTTCTTTAAAGTGTATGCTTTGAGCAAGGAAGTTGATATATACAACTAAATACTAACATTCTGTGGACTCCTTGTTCACTGTAATCTTAGTTCAAGTTATAACTGTTTTCCCTCATTTGGTTTTAAGCTTTTAAAAAAGAGTTTTCATGTAAGAATGTATATGGATGCATATGAATCTCAATGCAGAGAGAAGTTGCTGCCACTCTGTAGTGTTCCTTCTCATTTCTTATGAAAAGTAATCCTTTGGTGACTTCATTTCAGTGTCCAGTTACCATTCCATTTTTCTACAGCCATGTTCTGTGTGGAGGTGTGTGTGTGTGTGTGTGTGTGTGTGTGTGTGTGTGTGTACTCATGAATAAGAACATACCCAGGTATGAATAGACCCAAGTCACATGCTCTTAAGAATTTGATATTGGACTTTGCTTCCATATTGAATGAATTTCTAAACATCAGCTCAGTGCAGCTTGAGTACTGTACAATGAATCAACAAAAGCTCAAATCTAAGAGTGTGAACCAATAACAAATTCCTTTTGAAAAGGAACTTTGATCTTTACCATAACACTGCCTGCTTCCACCATGTAATCTTTCATATTCTTTTTGTGTAACAAGTGTGTTTTCCCGCATGGAATGTTTTTCTAGCAACAGTGGTGAGGTGTGACATGGCAACATGATTGGAGCAACGTTTGGGTCCTAATGGAATAGGAATAAGTGCCAGTGACCAAAACATATGATGGTGCTGAGTCACTGTGATTTGGTGATTGTCTAGTGAAAAGGATATACAGAGAGCTTGGCTTTCACTTCCTTTCTTTTGCTGAAATAAGCTGGAGGCACTGTTACATGACTGCCTTTCTTTGACTAAATCTCACATTTCAGGTGCTTCTCCCTCACATAATAAAATGCAAAGCACATAGGTGGCCACGTCCCTAGGGGGAACTGAGCCTGTCTGGCTGCCTCAAAGACTCAACTAGATTTGCCTTGGAATTTTAGGTAGGGGTGGAAGATTGGGATTCATGCTTAGGAATCAGCACACTGAAATTTAATGAGCAAAGGAGTGTGTGTGTGTGTGTGTGTGTGTGTGTGTGTGTGTGTGTCTTAAACTCACTCCTAGGAAGTTAAGAAACTTATTCAAGGTTGAACAGAGTAGAGGTATTTCAAATTGCTTTAGAAACAAAATTACAAAAAAACAATCTAGGAGCCAGAGAACCTTTTGGAATACCAGTAAGAGGGCTCCAACATAGGTGAGATGAAGGCCTTTTTGATAAATAACAGCAAGGTCCACCTGGCAAGATTAGCCATGATAGATGTGGTGGTGACAATGTGGATGGAAGAATCAACTGAGACCATCCTTCCTCAGTGCATGTGCATGAATGTGAAGGTGTGGTGGTGGTGGGTGTATTAGAGTCAAGACTTAGAGTAAGACAATGTTAAGAATGCCAAAGAGTATTGTGAGTGATCCAGGATCCTCTTGGGATAAAAGATGGGCTGGAAGGCTTGGGGCTTCTGAGGGTCTACTGAGTGGCACCAAAATCACCAAATCACTAAAATACATTTTCATTACCTTTATGTTTGTTACTCTTGTCCTTGGTAGCTCTCGGCACAACAGATTGTAGTTATCTGCCAGTTCCATTGGATCGGAAGCTCCTTGACCAAAGGGGACATATTGGATTGATCTCAATACCCCTGATGTTTAGCAAATGTTTCTATTGAGTTAGTAAATAAATCCATCTTCTACTTTTTCTTCAAAACTCTGAGATGTGAAGAAAAACTTAGTGTCTCAGGACTTTTGCTTCTATACTCACACGTTCATAAAGAGTAAGCACCATACAAGTGTTAACTATGCTTGCCATGATTACTACTATTTCTAAGTTTTCTTTGAACCCTCACATGTAAATATTTAACCGACTTTGGGGACACCACAGTGGCTCAGTCAGTTAAGCAGCCGGCTCTTGGTTTCGTCTCAGGTCATGATCTCAGAGTTTGTGGGTTCAAGCCCTGAATTGGGCTCCACATTGTCAGCGGGATTCTCTCTCTCTCTGTATACATATATCTGCCCCTCCCCTGCTCTGTCTCTCTCTCTCTCTCTCTCAAAATAAATAAATAAGCTTAAACAAAAATTTAACTGACTTTGGTATTTTTATCTAATCACATTCCTCTGGTTCCTTCCTTTTATTTTTCATTTTATTTTTAAATTTGTGTGTGTAGTTTTATTTTTTAATTTTTATTTTAAGTAGGTTCCACACCCAATGTAGGGCTTGAACTCACAACCCTGAGCCAACTGAGCCAGCCAGGCAATCCCTCTGGTTCCTTCCTTTTAATTTAACTGTATGCCACGTGGCCTTATACACAAAAATTTTAAGTTTTATTTTTAGAATCCCACTATTTTCTGCACAAATGTTTATATTTCCCATATTTCCTGTTTCTTCCGAACATTTTCCCAATGACTGGAGTCGTGAAAGCCATCCTCAGGAGCTGATTCAATATCTACAGCGCTGGTTAGACACAGTCTCAGGGAGTTTGTAGCCAGTGTGTAGTGTTTGCTCTTAACTTAAAGAGTATCCCTCCCTTGACCTCGCTACAGCATCCAATTGCCATTTCATTTTCCACAACCATGTGTGACAAAGCGGACTTTTCCATCCTACTCTTACCTCAGCTAGCTGCTGCCTGACTTTGGCTTCACTCCTCTTCAGAACACACCACTTCCTCTTTTTTTTTTTTTTTTTAATTTTTTTTAATGTTTATTTACTTTCGAGAGATAGAGTATGAGCAGGGGAGGGGCAGAGAGAGAGGGAGACCCAGAATCTGAAGCAGGCTCCAGGCTCTGAGCGGTCAGCACAGAGCCCGATGTGGGGCTGGAACTCATGAACCGAGAGATCATGGCCTGAGCCAAAGTTGAACCCTTAACCGACTGAGCCACACAGGTGCCCCGGAATACACCACTTCCTATAAGGCCTCAGTGCTTTCTTCTGACCTTGAGCCAGTAAGCTCTTTTCATACTCCTCTTTCATGCTTAGTTGGTCTGACATTATTAAAAAAATAAAATAAAACAACAATCCCTCCTCAACCAAAAGCCTTTTCTTTAAGATAGTCTCTTCTTCCTGACAGGTATGACCCTGAGCTCTTTTTTTTTTTTTTAACCCATCTGGTGAACAGGTTAATGCTGATTTTTCTTTGTCACACCCATTATTGGCATCCTTTTGCTTTCTGAGGTGAACCCACGACTCTCTACCCTCTGTAGGTCCTCACGTGTGTGGTCCCCTTCCTGTGCATCTTTACCCTGCTCAGGACACTCTTAATTCCACTTGGTTTTCTAAGCCAATTTTAAAACTCATACATTCAAGGAAAAACATAACTTCTTTTTTTTTTTTATTTTTAATGTTTATTTATTTATTTATTTATTTATCTTTTTAAGTTTCATTCAGTTTTGAGAGGCAGAGCATGAACGGGGGTGGGGCAAAGAGAAAGGGAGACACAGGATCTGAAGCAGGCTCCAGGCTCTGAGCTGTCAGCCAAGAGCCACACATGGGGCTTGAACTTACGAGCAGCGTGATCATGACCTGAACAGAAGTAAGACGCTCAACTGACTGAGCCACCCAGGTGCCCTTTGGAAAAACATATCTTCTTAAATGTTCCCTACTCTAATAACTCCCGTAGGGTTTCTGTGAAAAGTGTTTTCTTTATATAATACTAATGTATCAACACATGTGCACTTCCTAGTAAATATTCTTAACCTTTTGTCTTTTCATGAATGGGTATTGTTCCTTGAGACTCTTTCTTCTATTTGGGTTCTTTCCAAAATGCATAATATAATCTTCCATCCACAATGGATACCAACTAACTGTTGGTTAAAGTAGATAACAATTAAAAATATAATATTCACTCCTGCCAGCTAAGTAAATATTTAACTTACTTAATATGACTCAGTGACAATTTGTTCAGATACTGCAGTTCCCTGCTCTCAGGGAACTGCTGTCTGTTGGTGCTTCTCTGGGTCTTCCGTTTCCACCTAGCTCAGATGTAGAGTGTGGGGCTTATGCAACAGACCAGAACATTGTTCTTATAAATCTTACTACCTATATCACATGCCAACCTATCATAAAAGCCACGTTTTCATTTGCTAGGCTGAAGGCTTGTAAAAGAGGTGAGAGATTTATTTGAGAGAGAAGGAACCCATAGAAGCTTCTAGTGACAGATTGCTGGGGTTGAAGTTCAGGTTTTGCCATGTTCTAGCTGTGTGATTTTGTACAGTTCCTTAACTTCTTTGTGCCTCAGTTTCCTGTCATAAAAAGGCAGCCATGATAATTGTATTACTCTCCTAGAGTTATTACGAGGAGCAAATGAGTAAACATATGAAACAGAGTAAGCTCTATGCATTACAAGCTTCCACTGCCACAACTACTACTATTTTTAGGTTTGCTTTGAGTCTTTGTATGTGGATGTGGATTCAGATGCTACACATAACGATTCATGAAAATGAGTCATTGGGTTGATTCACCCTTAAGAAATAGATTCTGGCAGGTTAGAAGAGCAGACACCAAGCTCCCTCTGCTAAGACAAAGCCAGTGCCAGAAGGGATTGAGGAGAGTGAAAACTAGTTCCTGTTCTAACAACTGCTCTGACTGTTTACAACGGTTGCTGTCAAGACAAGGAAAGGCTGAGGAACTCTTCCAGATTGAAGGAGACGAAAGGGGCAAGGCAGCTAAATGCAACTCAGAACGCTGCGTTGGATCTGGGGTGGCCATAAAGGACATTGTTTGGAAAACTGGAAGTGTGCGAACAGAAAGTGAATGATAAAGAGTGATTATGGCATCAGTGCTAAATGTATAACTGCAATGTGGTTATGTAAGAGGATACTCTTGTTCTGGTTGTGTGTGTGTGTGTGTGTGTGTGTGTGTGTGTACATGGAGAGAGAAAAGAGTGAGATGAGAGAGAGACTGGAAAAGTAAATGTGGCAAAATGTTAACATTTGATGAAGTAGGGTAGTACAGGATTCTCTTTCCTGTTTTTGCAACTTTTCTATAAATTCGAAATTATTTTGAAATAAAAAATGAAAAAGAAAATTAGTCCTGTGATTTGAAGACACAGTTTTCCAACTTAAAAGATGGAGGAGTTTTAATTTATGGTCTTTGAGAAGGATTATAATATTTTCTGAGCTGCAAATTGGCATATTTTGTCTGAAGAGTCTTTTAAGATGTTTTAAATTAAAAAAATCCTCCAAAGATGACAAATTAAGGCACATATTGAATATACTTCTATTGAAAAGAATAAAAATTCATGAGAAAAAATAATTTAATAAACTGCATCTATTGGTTTATAGAAGAGTTGAATTGTCATTTGACCATTTTAAAGTCAATGGTATATTGATCCATTTGTATTGTCTGAAGAACTCAGTTTGCTTAACAATGAACTCTTTTCTCAAAATTTTGAAACAAACACCAGACTAATGGATTTGAGTTATCAATTTTGAAACCTCCAATTCATCATAAGTTCTTAATAAAAAAAATACAAGAGTACTTAAAAATATAAGTTGACCCAAAAGTGAAAGGACAAGGTTGTATATTTTCTTTAGGTCTGAAATACATTCATAGAATAAAAGTTTATAAGTAAATTTTATCATCTTTGACACACTGTTTCTTTTTTTGTGTCATATTCGGCCATTAAGTTCTTTTTAATATATGCTTTTATAATACAAATTTAATTATCAAAATCATATTACCAAATAGTAGTGAATGTTCAAAACATCACAAGTTGGCTTCCAGTTTAAAATAGAATGTGCTCTAAGGTACCTGGGTGGCTCGGTTGGTTAGGCGTCTGACTCTGGCTTAGGTCATGATCTCATGGTTCATGAGTTTGAGCCTTGCAGCAGGCTCTACACTGACAGGGTGGAGCCTGCCTGGGAATCTCTCTCTCTCTCTATCTGCCCCTCCCCTCATTCTCAAATAAAAATAAAAAATAAACTTAAAAATAAATAAATAAAATGGAATGTGCTCCAGTGCAATCTCTTCTAGTTTTATGCATCCAGTATCTTACCCCGATGAACCCACATAAAAATGATGAATCCATTATCAATTCCAGTGACACTGGAAATGAAGCTTGAGTGGCAGTCAGAATCAGAGAGGGAATGTCATTAGGTGAAAATCTTACGGAGCTTTCTGAGGATCTCTATCAGGAGCTATCAAAGCTTTACCCCTGACATGGAAGATCTTGCTGGGGGTTGAGAGAGGCTTTGCATACTCCTTGGTTCAAGAACTCAGGACAGTTGCTAGCCAAAAACTGGGCAGCCATTACTCAGCTGTGAGCATTAAAAATAAAAAGATAAACAATGGGAAAAAAAAAGGAATAAGAAGGAAGGCAAGAAAGAAGATAAAGGTAGTGATAAAAATGTCATTAAAACCAAAAATAATTTGTCAGGAAAACAAGGATCATTTTATTTTTTTAATATTTTTTTGAGTTTATTTATCTATTTATTTTGAGAGTGAGAGTGTGAGCATGAGTGGGGGAGCGGCAGAGAGAAAGGGAGAGGGAGAATCCCAAGCATTCTCTGTGCTGTCAGTACAGAGCTCAATGTGGGGCTTGATCTCATGAGATCATGACCTGAGCCGAAATGAAGAGTCAGAGGCTTAAACTGCTGAGCCACCCACGCACCCCAACAAGGATCATTTTATATAGAAAAAAGAAGATGTAAAATTCATGAGCCTTCTTAGTAATATAGACTTAAAAGAAATAAAGAAAAAACTTTCTGGAATATCAAAGAGAAAATGATAAATATAATTGTAAGAGGAATTAAAATATTTTTCTCAAGATTTTGTAGAGAGAAAAAAGTAAAATAAGATTGACTCAGTAGGTAGGTATTGAACTTTGTATTTTACAAGCAGAGGCTATACCTTTGCCATGCATCTGTGGACCATTTGCAGCGGCTGGTCATATACTTTGACACAGAAGTCCAATTATATAAGAAAAATGAGAAAATGGGGGCACCTAGGTGGCTCAGTTAGCTGAGCATCCTAATCTTGATTTTGGCTCGGGCCACAGTCTCATGGCTCCTGAGATCAAGCCCCATGTCGGGCTCTGTGCTGACAGTGCAGAGCCTGCTTGGGATTCTCTCTCTCTCTCTCTCTCTCCCTTTCTCTTTGTCCCTCTCCTGCCCATACTCTCTCTCTCCCTCTCTCTCTCAAAATAAATAAATTTAAAAAAGAGAAAATGTAGTAAACATATTTATATAATCATAGCTAACATACACTAAGAAAGGTTTAAGCAAACAAAACGCTTCAGTCCGTGAATTATCTAACAGTTTCCAAAATAGTCTTAGAATATAAATGTTTCCAAAACTCCAAAGTTATTTTATAATCTTTAGGCAGATATTCATTGCAACTCTATTTGTAACAATAAAATGCTGGAAATAATCCAAATGTTTGTCAATAGGGGACTCAGACACTCACCACTGGAGAAGTGCAGCTAGAAATAAGGAGCATCTCTATATGCTTCTATGGATATGTACTCTGTAGAATGTGTTATTACCTGAAAAAAACAAGATGGAAGAAGATATATTTCACTATTTACCCCCAAAATGTGGCAGGGATATGAATATTTGCTTATATTTGAAATCATAACAACAAAAGGGCATAATAAAAACACTGAAAAAAATTGGTTATATTGGGACTACAGTGAAGGAAACACAGATTGAAAACTACATTTTGGATTATACCTTGTTTTGTGAATTTGAGTTTGGAACCATTTTTATATCATTATAAAAATAAAATTAAATTTCAAAAGTAATTCCTAAAACAGAAAGTAAGATAAAGATTACTGTGTTGAGTTAGTAGCTTAACTATACAAAGATAACTTATTTCAAGGGGCTTAAAAAACAGCGATTTAATGTATAACCATTGAGATATAACCTAGGAATAAAAAGAATTCCAAGTACACCTTAATATGATAAATACTACATATACATACACACGCATATGCACACGCACATACCTACATACATACATATGTTTTTCCTTGCCAGAATGCTGGAATTTCTGGGATATTCTGATGACTCAGTAGGACAGAATATGGGACAGAATACTGGAAAGTAGCACTTAGAAGATCTAAGATTGTAAATGCTGAATCCACCTAAGGGCTATGTGTTACTGAAATTTGCAAGGTGACTGTCTTTGCTGGGACCCAAACCTGGTAAGAGCAAAAATTTTATTGGGAAGATCTTTTAAGTAAAAGAATAGTTATTAAGTGGAGGTGTAGGGTATATTTGAGGTCTGATTCAAATGGGTAAAGTTTAAACTGGAAAGAGCAAAAAGTTAAACATTTTCTATTTATAAAAAGTCAAACTATTTTTTCCTCACCTGGTTAAAAAGTTGGTACCAAAGTCACTAAATAGTTTCATATAATAAATAATCCTTTGTTGGATTCATTCCTACTTCTATCTCAGGAACTTATCGTGGTTTTCCCCTTTGGTTACCACCTCTACGTATCTTATGTTATCAAGCTATCTTTCATAAAATCTTCTAAGTGCTCTTTTGTTCTTTATGGAAAATAGTGTGGGTGTGGGAATAACTAACTGGTTAAATTTAAAAACCACAATCAGGGGCGCCTGGGTGGCGCAGTCGGTTAAGCGTCCGACTTCAGCCAGGTCACGATCTCGCGGTCCGGGAGTTCGAGCCCCGCGTCGGGCTCTGGGCTGATGGCTCAGAGCCTGGAGCCTGCTTCCGATTCTGTGTCTCCCTCTCTCTCTGCCCCTCCCCCGTTCATGCTCTGTCTCTCTCTGTCCCAAAAATAAATAAACGTTGAAAAAAAAATAAAATAAAATAAAAATAAAAACCACAATCAAAGACAGACACAGATATGTGACATGTATTACTATCTTCATGTTAACAACCTTATGACATCATTTTCTAAGCTGTTTCTGAGAATGAAATTCCCAGCCACATCATCAGCCAAATTCACTCAAATTCATTATCTGGATTTGGTGTTTCTCCTGCATGGTTAAAGCTTGGAATGTGAAAGCTTGAAATTTCTTGGAATCAAAAGTGATTTAATAAACAAAGTTAATTTCAATGAGTGATAGATTTGAAGTTTTTGCCAACACAGAGTCAAAGAGATCTATTAAGGCTCTAAAAGAAGTAATTTTTTAAAAGATATCAATGGACATTTTGGTTCCCCCAAAGGACTCTGAATTGGCTAAGCATTTAATAATAAGAATGACTTTAAACTTCCTTTTCATCTCAGTATGTTAAAAAATCAGTTAATTTAACATCATCAAAGTGTAATTCCCCATTCACATCTTTCTTTCACAATAAAATTTTATCTCCAGAATTCCAGTTTGATCCTTATGCAGCACTGTGCTGAGTTCTCCTGCTCAGCTGCCTGAGGTATTCATCTGAGTCTGTAGTAGGCATATGAAAGCATATTCCACCCATGTGGGACCAGAAGTTACCCCCAGAGCAGAAAGTCTTCTATCCTCAGCCCACTGCCTTGTAAACTTGTCCTTTAACTCCATACACTTTTGGACCTACAGTTACATTAACTCCAAGGAGGCAAGTACTTTGTTCTCTCAGGAGGGAAGGCCAGATCCCCACAGTAAATTGTGTAGAGGCTTCTTGGGTGCCTGCCCTCAGCCTGGAACTTTGCATTTGTTCCCTCATTCCATCCAGTCAACAACACCAAGAGGGAAAAAAAATCTCCATTTAAAAAAAATTTTAAATTCCAGTATAGTTTACATGCAGAGTTATATTAGTTTCAGATGTACAATATAGTGACTCAACAATTCCATACACCACCTAGTGCTCATCACAAGTGCCATCCTTAGTCCCCATCCCCATCTTACCCATTCCCCCCACTCCCTGCCCTGGTAACCATCAGTTTGTTCTTTGTAGTTAAGAGTCTGTTTCTTCGTTTGTATCTCTCTTCTTTTTTTATCTTCATCATTTTTTTTGGTTTTTTTTTTTAATGTTTATCGATTTTTATTTTTATTTTTTTTTCAACATTTATTTATTTTTTGGGACAGAGAGAGACAGAGCATGAACGGGGGAGGGGCAGAGAGAGAGGGAGACACAGAATCGGAAACAGGCTCCAGGCTCTGAGCCATCAGCCCAGAGCCCGACGCGGGGCTCGAACTCCCGGACCGCGAGATCGTGACCTGGCTGAAGTCGGACGCTTAACCGACTGCGCCACTCAGGCGCCCCTGTTTATCGATTTTTTTTTAGAGAGAGAGAGAGAGAGAGACAGAGAGAGCATGCATGAGTGTGTGTAAGCAGGAAAGGGCAGAAAGAGAATGAGAATCTCAAGCAGGCTCCTCACTGCCAGTGCAGAACCTGATATGGGGCTCCAATCCATGAACTGTGAGATCATGACCCGAGCCAAAGTCAGACACTTAACCAACTGAGACATTCAGGCACCCCTTTCTATTTGTTTCTTAAATTCCACATATGAGTGAAAATCATATGGTATTTGTCTTTCTCTTACTGACTGATTTCACTTAGCATTATTTTCTCTAGTTCCATCCATGTCATTGCAAATGGCAAGATTTCCTTTTTTATGGCTGAATGATATGCCATCATATATATATATATATATATATATATACCACATCTTGCTTATCCATTCACCTATTGATGGATACTTGGGCTGCTTCCATAATTTGGCTCTTGTAGATAATACTGCTATAAACATAGGGGTGCATATCCCTTTGAGCTAGTGTTTTTGTATTTTTTGGGTAAGTACCCAATAGTGTAATTACTGAATTGTAGGGTAGTTCTGTTTTTAACTTTTTGAGGAAACTATGTTTTCCATAGTAGCTGCACAGTTTGCATTTCCACCAACAGTGCATGAATGCTCCTTTTTCTCCACATTCTTGCTAACACTTACTGTTGAAGAAATCTCCATTGAAATTGGGGACACTTCCTGTGTGAACTAGTACCAACCATGGTCACATGGCAGAAAGCAGAGCCTTGGGAAACTGACTGATATGTGTTGACCAGGTCGTAGGCCTGAGGGAAATAAAGAAGTTGTGGGTACACGGGGGTGGAAGTCGGGAAGTTACCACAATAACTTGGGAGGTAGGGCTTTGCAAGAAGCTGGGGAAATAAAAAGTTTTCAAGTTTCATATTTCTCTGTTAAGGCCAGAGAAAATTGGAGCGTGTTTTATAGTGGAAATGAGTCAGCCAGACCGCTCTGTAGGTCTATAGGGCAAAAACATTTTGTTCAAAAGCCCCGTGAGTATTATTCTCATGGAACAGTCTTTTCCTAATTCTAAGGTCTTTTATGTGCTCTGTAGAATGGAGTGTGCATGTTTGGGTGGGAATATATCGGCCACAAGTCTCTCCATCTTTTATTTTTCCTTTCCATGCTGTTTACTGTCTCTTTTCCTCTTGCTCTATCCAAAGATACCAGTCAAAGGAGCCAAGCAAAGTGCCCCCCTTTTGTAGAGTTAAACATCTTCATATACGGATAGATGGCTCTGCTGGGTAGGTGAGTGCAAGATCTGGTTGTAGCAAAGCTGGGCAGCACATCAGCAACTCCAGATGCTTAGGCCACCTCTCTGTCACCCTTCTACCCCCCACATGGCACTGTGCCCTGAAGGTCAGATGGAGGCAGGGCCTGGGCCTGCCAAGTTTTTTTCACTGGTATTCACGTATCCTTTTTCTATGTGCCAATTCAGCATGATCTAGGCAAGGATTATTTATTTTGTAAGGACTGAAAATGACTGAAAGTAGCTCAAGTAAAGGAGGGTCCACTGGAAGACTTTGAGGTTATGTCCTGGAGTTCATGTGTAGGAAGCGTGCCTGGACCCCCTGGGAACTCTTTCACTCTTGCACTGTCTCCCTGAGTGAGGTGCCAACTGCTCCTGCTATTTTCCAGGATGGATGTGGCAGGGCTCACCTGACATGACTCCAGGGCTGTAACGACTATATGACTGCACCATTTTGTTTTAAAAAGTGGTGTTCCTCTTAGCCAATGTGTTATATACAAGTTGTTACAAGGGACGCTGCAAAATGCCTGCAATAAAGTTCTTGTTAATTCACATTCATTTAAAAACATTAAGTGAATTTCATTTAATTTTCATGCAAGTGCAGGATTGGAAGTTGTCACATCAACACTAGATGGTCAAGTACTAATGCTAGGATTCCAGAATTCCAAAAGGGTTGGGAGTCATTGTTGGGGGTGTCAAAGAATTCGTTTCCCCCATAGGCACATGGCTTTGAGCCAGCATACCTCATAATTCCTTCCCTTCCACCCCCTTCTCTATTTTCCACCCCTTTGTTGTAGTCAGTTCAACCAGGGGGATGTGGATGTCAGGTATTTCTGTTAGCCTTTTAACATCCAAAGAGTTATTTCTCAGACACATGGTGACTTGTAAGGGTTGGTGTTGTTCTGACACTTATCCTTTGGAAGTTTAAAAAGTCTTTATTTTGAGGGTGCTCAGGTGGCTCAGTCGGTTAAACATCCAACTTTGGCTCAGTCATAATCTCGTGGCTCATGAGCTCAAGCCCCACACCGGGCTCCATGCTGACAGTTCA